ATCGAGTTAAGTGCCTCAAACACCGGCTTGTTATTCCTGATACATCGGTTGTAGTATTTCCCGTTCATTACGCCATTGACCGATCCTTTTGCCACCACATCCGACACTATAAAAATGTCTTCAAGCTTAGTATTACCAAATCAGTTTCCATTTGTTGGCAAAAATGTCAGGGACGAATGATATAATGCCTCTTAAATTCATTGTATTTCAAACATATATTCTGAGCCTTGGCATATATTGACTGATCAAACAGAATGACAGTATGCTCCAAATTTAATTTCTCTCGTATTAGATTACACTTGTCAATAGTTCCGGTATATAATTCATTTGAGTTGATAACGTTTGAATAGCACAAAGATGGTCAATAAATGAACTTGAAAGAACATTTTGTTGAATGATTACGTTAAACCCTGACCAGCTTTATTTATTGCTGACCCTTTGATAAGCTCTCGCATGCTGTTGATGCATTATCAGCTCTAGTGCCTGTCAACTGGATTATGACACACTATTTATAATGTGTAGTAACTGTTTCAGAGACTGTTTTTTCTCCAAAATCAATGTTGTCCCATATTAGAATGGTCTGTGTTGATATCTGAAGTATTAGGGAATGATGACATTTTCTTTTATCTTAGCAAGAACCATATCATATTTAAGAGTAGCTGAATACAACTGGATGGTCAAAACCATTCAGAAGATTCTAAAAGCTTCCAGTCCAATGCTTCAACGTTATAGACAAAGCTAGTTATTTTGGAGTCAGCTTTCATATCTTTATAAAGCTTTAATTATGTCCTGTGCTGAGCAGAGAGGCCTCACGCAGGGAAAAATGGGACTTATGACAATTTAGAAAAACAACATATATATAAATAAGTGCTTTGTCATACAGACTAGAAATAGATTTGAAATATCAATGAAAGAAGAAATTGTAAACAAAGATGCAGAGGACCAATCGGTTAAGTTCCAAGAGATGCTACAGGAAACAGGATAGAGGACCGTAGAGCATAGAAGAAGAAAAAGGGGTAAAAACAAAATCTATATGAGGTTCAAAGAAATATGAATGAAAGAAGACAACTATCAAGATAGAAATAAGTAATAATGTCAGTCTTTTGTTTAGGCAAGCAGAGGATAAGGATATGAACAAAAAATATGCAGATATTGAGAAATTGAAGACAACCCTCATGCGTGAATAAAAGAAGCATAGATATTTTTTTAAACTGGGGATATTAAAGAGCGGTAGGTGGAGTATGGAGGAAGACTGTATAATGATGGGAGAGAAATCAGCCATAGAAATAATAGAACCACTTAAAAATGGCCTAGCAATTCTAAAAAGAAAGATACAGGAAGCCATTAGATGCTTGAAAAAAGGACTAGCTTGGGGAATAGTTTCCACAGAAATTTTAAATGAAATTGACATCTTACAAATTAAACATTTGACTTCAATCTGTAACTCAATTTAAAGAGAAGGAAGATTTTAACATACTTTAAGGGGTCTATTTTAACCTCAATAGAAGTAAACATAAGGATGAGAACAAGTTGTGAGAAGACCGAAATGATTTTAGAAGAGGTTGAGACATATTTGGCCTAGGGATGTTAGGTTAAAGACCCGTTGTAGTGCAAAAAAATATTTATGTATGCTTCATAGACTTTGAAAAAACGTTTGACAGGGTTAATCACGAGAAGTTGATGGAGAACGTGCAGCAGATCGGGGTAGATGAATCAGATATCAGTTTCGTGAATTATTTGTATCGGACTCAGGAAGCAACAGCACAAAACGACGGAGAAGAAGTAGTTGGTTTGGGGTTAAGAGATGTTGGTCATCATCGATATTATATAATTTGTACGCAGAGTGATTATTTATACATAAGTTATTAAGGTTAACGAAAGTAGAACCTTCAGTAACAAGTTTGCTGGTGATAAAGCACTTATGGGTGAACTTGAGGAATAGTTAATGCAACGGTTACTTGACAGGCCTCTTGATAGAAGAGAAGATTGTGAATCCAGAATAAATGTCAACAAAACTATGACAATGGTAATTTCACGATCTGAGGGAGCTCCCAGTAGATGCATCAAACTAGAAGGTAAAGAATAAGAACAAAAAGATAAGTTTATTTGTTTAGAAGCGAATGAATGTCTATGGAAAATGTGGAAAAAGAGATAAATCAAAGCATAGCAATGGCAAAAATATCATTCTTCGATCCCAAAGAATTGCTGAGGAAATATGTCAAACCAGAATTGAAGAATAGACAACTAAAATGTTGCGTATAGACAGCCCTAATCTACGGGGTTAAAATTTGGACCCTGTCTGCTAAAACAGAACAAAGCTGCAAACATCTGAAAAGCGGTGTTATAGACGAACGATGAAGGTTAAGTACAAAGAAAGAAAACTGACGAGGAAATGTTGGAATGTGCAAAAAAACAAAAAGACGAATGTTGGATATATGAATGAAATGGAAACTTTGAGCATACAATTAGATCTAAGGGAAGGTTGTCAAAGAATGTGATGGGTAAAACCGAAGGAAGAATAGCGAGAGGCAGTCTCGATTACTTTAGAAAATGGGTTGGAGGTGAAAAGCTTGAATTAGGAAAATTGATGTGGACAGTGGGGAATAGAGAACAATGAAAAACTAGAGTTGTCGAACCTCATAATTGGGGAGGTGCCATGATTGACTGATAATATCATGTAAAAATGGATAATTTAAACAACCGGCTGGCTGTTGTGTGTGTGTGTGTTTTGCCTTTTAGATCAACTTACCCGCCAAAGCAGGAAGTCTAGTAAAAATAGTATAAGAGAAAAGTAGAAAAGCCGTATGCAGAAAGTATGATCTCAGTTACGCCTTGATAACTTAGCGAAAATGTACCTATTATAATATGCCTTTTCTATCCAGCTTCACATTCATCAGTTTCCACGTCATACACAGAACTCAATATAAAGTACACTGTGACAACGCCCTAGCCACACCTATGTTCCTAGTTTGTCTGTTCTCTTTTATTATTACTTACTGACTTCATGATGTTCTAGGTTATTATGTTTGAAAACCATGTAAAAAGGTTATCCGAACTATGTCATACTCTATGCATAACAATTTCCTGAACCGAGTTTTCTAGACTGGATGGAGTTTTAATGACTTAAGAAGTAACTAAAAGAGAGTATATGAAAGCATGTTGTTGGTAAACTGACACGACAAACTGCGGTGTACTATATTAAAGCTAATCAGAAAATTGCTCCAGATACGATAAAGACCTGCCTTTAAAGTTCGTTGTATTCTATCTTATGTGGTACTAAATGTATTCAAACGTTATGAATTATTCTATAAATAAATACAATAATTGTCTGGTAAAACATAAAGGCAAATATACAGTGTTTT